ATATATATATATATATATATATATATATATATATAAGATCCTTCTTCATTTGAATGACATGGCTCTTGGCAGAATCAAGGCCATTTACTTCGTGAAACTTATTTGTTTGGTAACAGTGGTAATGATGGGATAAATTAAAATTAGTCATTTATGTTAAGCTTACAGACTTCAGCGACCAGTTCTCAATAACAAACTACTTGTCGCATGGAGGGGCTAGTGTTGGGAAGTTTTTTTTCCAAGTGTAATTGCCTTTAGGTCATCTGAAGGTAATTGAAGCATTTTGCTAATCCGGCATTAACTTTCCGGCGGCAGTCTGTCGGGAAGCAAGAGTAGATGAAGTTACAATGGGGACGAATTTACCCCAGAGCAGCTAACTGGTCTGCTTTTTTTAGAGGTGTACCAAGGGTTAGTTGCTTAATTAAATCGAAGCAGAAGACATTGTTACAGGTAGTAGGATAAAGTCTTATCGTTTTGTTTGGTATGATACTGGACCACTGCTGAAAAGACCTAAGAAATTGCCCCATTAAGGATTCGCGTAACAAATTTACTGGGAGGAAATGAATTGCCGATTGGCTGTTGGGACGTTTCTGGTTTTTAGTAGATTTTCTTTTACATTTTCGTATAAGAGGTTCGAAGTAGCCAGAAAGAATCAAATTTGAAGCATTTTTGAAGGAAGATTTCTCGTTTTAAACATGGTCGATACGGTTTTGTAATATATCAGCGGAGAAGATATCAATTGCGACACTGTGTCAGATAACAGATTAAAGATCGCTCATTCCCTTAGTTTACTGTTACCCTGTTTTGTTATCCAACACACGTTTGTGGGAAGTAAAAGTAGTGCATGTGCAGGTTTGGAACTAATATTCGTATTTTTTTGAGCCCTTCATTACAGTGGCTGTTCAAAATGACAATTTATAACTTCTACATATTCAATCGCCTCGGAACCTGCATTTATTACAAGGAGTGGAAGCGTGTGAAACAGGCTGGGATGCAAAGAGACGAGGTTTGTTATGCAAAGTGTTTCATTATCCCTCAGTTAGCTGAAGACGAAGAAGTTAAATTGTATTGCTTTTCTATTTTGAATTCGTACGTTTGTTTAGGAGTTCAAACTGATGCACGGTATGCTTGTCTCTTTGAGGTCATTTTCGTCCAGACTCTCCACAAGAAATGGGTTTGTTCAAATGACATTTCATAAATACTCTTGGAGCTTAACTTAACAACAGCATTATTCAGCTATACCTGTGTTATCTACCCAGCTAATTATGTTCCATCACTCAAGTTTTTAATGCGCTTCAGTCAGTTGCTGACTGCACTCGCCTTTTTTATTCTACTTTGTAGGCAACAGCAGTTAAGGAGTTATGAGACTAGTCAGTACAAGATGAATTACCTAGAAACACCAACTGGTCTAAAAATGGTCCTAAACACTGACCCAGCAGCAAGTGGTGTAGCAGAATTGATGAAGACTATTTATCAGGTCTAAATTGTTGGATCACATAGAATGAGTCAGTTACAGCTAGTTGGGACTGTATTATTGCCCTATAAAGAAATTCTTCAGATCTATGTTGACACAGTGGTGAGGAATCCGTTGATCAACCCTTCCGCCGAGCTTAAAAGTCAACTCTTCGACGACTACATCACGGATCTCATTCAGAAACATCATTCTTTTTGACCAACCCGCAAAATACCCCTCAATTATTAGTCTCATCCATCCAGTATTTTTGAGTGGTCATCCCACGGATCCCACGAATATCAATAAATTACTTTCATAATAACTCGCATTTTGCAGCCGGGGGCCCCGTTTATTAAATCGGTTAGAGCTCGCCGTTGGCCAAACTCACACCAAACTTCAGTACTTCCAGAAAAATGAGGAAGTGAAAAACTACATTAGAGGAGACGCCGGCTGCAACAACCATGAGGAGCAACTGCATCCCAGATCAGAAACTGCGCTCTTCACCAACCACCAGAAAACTACTACCTTTTAAGCCACGAGCGAGCACTTAAGCACTTGTTTTTAGGGCATCAGTGCCAGCCCTCCAGAAGACACGCATTGTTTTGTAACCTAACACACAGGGCACCTTTGTAAACCACATTGTTATATACGTAGTAAATATCAAATAAAGCCTAGTAACGTAATAGACTTTATTAGAGGAAACAAAACAATCAAAAAATTTTGAAGTCTTCAAAATGAAAACAACAAGAGCTGCAAAACAATGAACGATGAACTTCACACCATATTCCTTACGCGACCCTTTAAAACAACTTCCAACAAATGAACAAGTTTTCGAAGAAATTAAGCAACGAAAGACAAAGAAATAGAAAAAGGTACAGAGCATACTCATGCTCGAATATCTATAATTTAAGTCTAAAGCAGGTTTGCTACATCACTTGGCATCTCTTCAATTTGTGTGTTGTAAAAACTTTCAATGTCTTTTAATTGTCTAAGGTCTTGTTCGGTAACAAAGTTAATGGCCACACCTTTACGGCCGAAACGACCTGAACGTCCGATACTGAAAAGCAAAAAACGCAGGGTAGAGGAAGGCCAATGAAGTCCTAATCAAGCAAAGCAAGCTTTCAAAGACTTGACGTACCGGTGAATGTAGTTCTCGCGGTTACTTGGTAAGTCATAGTTGATGACAAGGGACACTTGCTGAACATCAATACCTCGGGCAAGTAGATCTGTTGTAATTAGAACACGTGAGGAGCCGGTACGGAACTCGCGCATTATAGTGTCACGCTCCGACTGTTCCATGTCGCCATGCTGAAACACACGATTGCGACAACTGATGACTAAAAAGGAAGAGCCAGAAGACTTGAATACAGCAGGGCCAAGAGTAAAGCATATTAGTATGGATTTAACCGCAACCCCTTACTGGGCTGATATCCGACCTAAATATCAAAAGAGTGTATTTCTAGAGCGCACATTTCCTGCGTCTCAATGCAATGTTTAAAAACGTAAACAACCCGAAAGTCTTCGCGAACAGTTAAAATGCAGTAATGAATATAACAGCACGCACGATGGCTGGATATTCGCGCGTCAACAGAAAGCAAAAACTTTAACTCTTTGACCCTGTTAACTAAAATCGAAATGATAAAAGTAACTAATTCTAAAAATTCTATAATATCCGTAGTCGTTTATCTGAGAACATTTACCACTACTTTCCTAAACATTGCTGCCACACACTATTGAAATCGATAGCAAAAAAAATGCTGTGAGGAAATATCTCCAAAACTCTTCAATTTCCCATCATTTACCAAACACCCGTCCCGACTAAAAACTGTGAAACCATAAAATACAAGAAATAATTTCAGATCATAAGCCAAAAAATTACAGGTATTCCCCTCCTGTAAAAAACCGCTATTCTTGACTCTCCTCTATATTCATAATTAAAAGAGTTAATTGTTGTTGGAAACGCTACCAGCAAATTCAATTCCAAAACGGTTCACCCAAAAAATGCCCAGTGAATGCCGTGAAGAGACAACTAATTACCAGATACAGAAGAATTATACCAACAAACAAAACCCTGCAGCCTCAAAATTCATACCCTCTTCATGAACATTTCAAAGTTACACGTTTCTCAGCTCTTTTTTGGTGATGTCACAAAAGGATTATCAACAGCGCTCCTGAAAAAGCGCCTCTAAAAACTCCACTCTACTCCTTTTTCAGAAAAAATTTGAGGACTATTCATATATCCATAAACAACAGAATTCCAAATTTAAAAAGAAATTCACTGTTAACAGACCACTGGTCATAACAGCCCCCCAAAGGACACGTCTCCACTTGCATTGCGGTGGTACACGCTGACAAAAATTCAGCAGCTAAGAGGTGCCAGAAATTTATAAACGCTTCAGGTAAAAATTAAAAAGCAAAAACTAATCGAAAAGTTAAAACAAAATGCTGGCAAAAAACAATCTTTTCTCAACAAACAGTGAGTGACCGAACAGATAATAAGAGCACGAAATAGACCAAAAGCGAAGAACAAATTTGGCCCAACACATCACATCGACAAAAATAAAAAATGATTTTAAAAACTACATACCATGCAAGACACGGTGTATTTTTCATTCTTCATTTGATTTGCTAGAGTATCTACCTTCCTGCGTGTATTGCAAAATATAACGGCTTGTGTTATGTTAACGGTGGAATATAAATCACACAGCGTGTCAAACTTCCACTCCTTAAAGCGGTTTTTTGAAATAGTGACCTTCCTAAGTTACGATGGGATCAAGGGACATAACAAGTTTCTAATTATTATGTGAATCAAATGGAACTGGTTAAACCAAAAGCTAACTTACTTCCTTATCAACATTAATATAGAACTGTCGAATACCTTCAAGAGTAAGTTCTTCTTTCTTTACAAGAATCCGCACAGGATTATTCATAAAACGATTAGTTACTTCAAGAACCTCAGATGGCATTGTTGCAGAAAGTAAAACAACCTAAACACTAATTAATGACTTTCCACTTGAACTTGCATCTCTCACACTAAAGTGGATTAACCCAATCAAACAAAAACAAACTTGCACAACAAAACGATAAATCAAGCCGTAGACTCATTAACGTCTAAGGCCCACTAGAACCCGAAATCTAGGAATACAAATTTCACAGTAATTTTATAAAAGTACAGACGACGAGAAATTACAGACTAACATTGCCAATTCTCTTCAGATTAAAATGCATTTATTTTTACCTGCACATCTGTCGGCATGCATTTGAAAACTTCATAAATTTGGTCCTTGAAACCTCGGGAAAGCATTTCATCAGCTTCGTCAAGAACAAACATTTTAATAGAAGAGGTTTCTAAAAACGTATTGGTTTTACAACAGTCCCTGCGGTGATTTCCAAGAAATATTTCTCGGGGAAAAAAATTGAAAAAAAGGTTACGTAGGGAATGACGCTGGATCATATCATTTACACGGCCAGGGGTACCTACAACAACATGTACCCCTGATTCCAATATTCGTTGGTCTTCGCGAACATTAGTGCCACCGATGGATGCGTGACATTTCACGCCCATATAATCGCCCAACGCAAACATAACTTTTTGTATCTGTTATGGAGCATATTTCGCCAAATTAATAAGAAAAAACCAGTTTTTTGTGTTTAAGAAAAAGTGTTTCCAGAAGAAGACTAAATTTCCCACTTGCTGTGCAAGTTCTCGGGTTGGAGCCATAACGAGTGCCTGAACCTCTGGGACTGTTTCATCTATATTTTGCAAAACGGAAACAGAAAACGTGGCTGTTTTACCTGTACCTGACTGCGCCTGCGCAATAACGTCACGTTCTAAAAATAACAGCATATAACAAAAAAGATGAAGTATTTTAAAGGAATAACTTCCTTTCGAGCAAATAATTTTCAAAAAAATAAATAAATAAATGGGCTGAAATAACATTTTCAAATAACCGACTTCCAAGCAAGTTAAAAATCTCATAAAAGATTATTTGTTCAAAAGAACTTAAAATTAGGCAGAGGAATTCCAAACCGTTTTTTGAAAAGGTTTAAAGGAAAAGAGACGTCGCAACATGTAACTAATAGTCCTTTGCACCGCATAACCAAAAACCACCACTAGGTTTAAATAGGGGAATTTTTTACAATCCTAAGTTAACTGTCCGTATTGCATTGCAAACCTCTTAAAATGATAGTTACTACCTCATTCAGCATTTACTTCAGAATCAATGCCTCCCGAGAACTCACAACAAAAAATACGCTTGACTCTTCCGGTTACGTCAGACCAGAACTTGTCAAAAAAAAGAGAACGTATATGAAAAACAAATGCTGGCACAAAAAAGAAACAGGAGATTGAAATTTTGTAGAAAATTGGAAAGAAAAAAGTGCTGAATGGATAAGTAACGAGATGGCGTTTTTGTGAAGCTATTCCACGACAGCAAGAAATATAAGCGATTGACATACTCATTGTGCAAGGGACAATGGCTCGCTGTTGAATAGCCGATGGTTTTTCGAAACCATAAGAATAGATGCCTCGTAAGAGTTTTTCTTTGAGATTCATATCGTCAAAACTCTCACATACTTGATCCCAGTTGCCCTGGAAGATGACAAAGATAGAGAATTCCTGTGTTACAAACAAGCACAGCAGTATAGTGAAAACATGCAAGTTTTGACCTACGTTTTTCCTATCATTAGTCATTAATCACTGCCCTAAATAAGCTGCCAATCCTGGACATGCCCCAATGAGATTTCTTCTTGTAAAACTTTCTTTAACTCAGTGAACTCATAAAATCTCCTTAACAGCAAATTGCTCACAAGTCGCATAAAACTCCCCTTTCTCCTCCGTATTTCTAATCGAGTTAGAAAAAAAAAATTTTTTTAATTTCCCTCCTCGCCAGTCTTTTCAGTTTTATCGCAACTGAGAACCGATGAAACTGCTTCTAGTGCTAATCAATATACCATCAACACACGATTTCAAATCTAATTTTAGTGGCTCTCTAAGATACTTATCTTTGGATGAAATGTGCCGTTTAATACATTTCTACACTGTGATTAACAGTTACAACGTTCTAAAAGAAGATCCCAACAATTAAAATCTAGTCATGCAAGTTGCTAAAAAAATATCCGCTGTTTGCGAAAACAAAACAACAGACTATGAAACTAAATTACAAAAAAAAATAATGATAATAACCAGAAAAGCTGTTTATTAAAGATTTAAATAAATAACATAACAAACCTCAATGAGGCCATCGGGATCTAACCCAATGTTTCCAGTGGCGTTCGAGTCACTGTTGTTTACATAATTCTGTCTAAAAATAAGCAAAAACCCATATTTCACATATACAGCTACTAGGAGTATTTTATAACATAAGCTCAAAATTTCTAAGAAATTAGTACAAACTAGTTTAATCAAAGTTCAGATAAGAGAAGAAAACCACAATCAGTTTAATTGCATTGAATTTTGGAACATTTGTAACTGCAACTGGTCTCATTCAATGAGCGACCAAAACTCTATATTCTTGAAGGCGGTAAATGTAACATCTAAGCTGTTTTTTATCTAACTTATTGCCAACTATATGAAACTTGATTGGAAAACAAATCCCCAGAAAAACTTACTGTTCACTAGCATCAGTCATGTCAGAATTAAACAGATATAATTAATCTTGTTTGGTGTCTCAAGGTAGCAAAAACACAGACCGCTTTCAATGCAGAAAATACAGCAAAATGAAACGTTCAACGTTCGATCAGCACTTTTAACCGTAATCCTAACCATTCCGTTTCGTTGGTTCTACAGCGATGTACCGTAAATTGGCAGTGTTACAAATTTTTACAGCTAACTTTTTGAATCAGTGACCTGCAAATGTTTTTGGTATGGACCACTTATACTTCTTTGTATCAATAATGGCCGCCTAATTGTTACACTTCGACCGGTCCAGTGATACCGCGCCAGGGTTATGATTGAAGTCAATTTTGCAACTTTTTTTTTCCTCTACCCAAACAACATAAAAAAGGAGCTTTTTTTTTCTGATTTCTGGCACAATTCCATCAAAATGACATTTGTTCTTAGGTGCAAATCTGCGATGTACAACTGCATTTGTGTTATGTATTCATATCCATATGCGCATAACTTAAAATACATATAACAAAGATTTGCTTTTCATACCTGTAAAAGCTGCTGGTTTTCAGTCGCTTTTTAACACTGCTCTCGATCAAACACCTCGCTGATTTCCTTTCTTTGCACAATAACGAAACCTTAAACCATTGCTTTGCTCATACCAGTGTTTTTGACATACGTTTACAAGAGTTATACGAAATTTATTCTTAATCTGGGGAAGCTTTTAAAGTACTATTATTCATACTAGTAATAGTAAAAGCAGAAGTGAAAATAGGGATAAATATAAAGAGGTGCATGAATTGTGGAAGATTTCTGCCTGTTTTCAGACGTAATTTGAGGTGTTTTTAGAAAGGAATGCCACACACGACTGATGGCTGACTGGAAACTTCCAAGTTACATAACTGATTCTTTTCGTTTGATATTGTTCGGAACTCTCAAAGGAGCGGTTTAGTGGGTTGCTTTTCTCGTCCTACTGGCCTAAAGTTTGCAGAAGCTGAAATAGGGTTTTGAGGTCTACCAACTGTGTCTAAAATCACTCATTTTAAACCAGTTTTTTCGGATTTCAAAGAAATTACAGCCCCCCATAACTTTCACCAATTTATTTTTTTTTTTTATTTTTGAAGTCAAGATGGTTGCAGCCTTGGCTTTCTTGTGTGTTACGGTTTTTATTCGAAATTAGTTTCGCGGAAATTGATGCTGCATTGTAATGATTTTTCTAAAGAAGCACAGCAATTGATAGCCCACAGATTTGATGAGCAGAAACGAAAATAAAATTTGTTTACAAGAGTGGAAATCAGTGAATAAGCTTTGCGGTGGTAGATGCACTGTTTCTATCCAGAAATATCAATCTGTCAGGAATGTGATTCAAATGAAAACTCCGCTTTTTTTTTTTGGGATGAAGTAATGCTGAAAATGCAAAACACTGACATTGGAACTGAATCTGAATTATGCCAGTTGCGGCAATCACGAAGAACGGAGTGCAGAATTTTTTTTAGAAGGAAAAGAATGTAAAGTGGAAATTGACCAATATCTCTTTTGAATTTCTACCAAACGGCGTTGCAGGTGATTCGATTAAGTCTCCCCTATTTTTCTGTTGTTCGTCTGCTATTCAGCAAAAAAAATTGATTTTAATGACTTTGGATTCATGAAAAGTTACTTAAATCATACTTCACAATGCCGGATTTCTGCTATGGTTGAACTCAATACTGAGAAACCGCGAGAAGTGACTATCATCATCTAAATTCTGTTAGCTAGCTTGCATGGCGGGTAGTTTAATTTACGACTTGCATATGTAGTCTGTGATATTGACTGTAATAATTTATGAACCATTACTGTTTTATTAGACAAGGGGAGAAAAAGTTTGACAAAAATGATAAAGACTGTTAAGTAAAGAAGATGAGTTTAGTTCTCTGAATCTGGGTGTTTCGACAAGTAATTTTGCGTTCTCTAATTATTTTAATTTTTTGCTTGCTCTTTTCTTCCTTTTCCGACAGTTAAACTCTTTAGAGATTCGCCGTGTAGGAAGGCCAGCATGACCAGGAAAACTCTTCCGCTACGCTGCAAATTTGTAACTCCTTTCATGTTTCTACTTCAAAAGTTCCAGCTTTCCGGATGGCTAGCATATTATTTTCGCCTCGCTGTTTAGTAATTCAGGAAATTTTAGTACATATTTATCCGAAATGATTTTGATCTAGGTTATATTTTTTTCATAATCCTTTTGATTCAATACAGTTCTGTTTCTGACAAGGAAAAATAGTAATGCATTTATTTCCTTTCAAGGATTCATAACAAGTATTTTGAAACGTTGCTTTCTTTACGACTTTTACATTCCGCATATCTTTAACTGCTAGAAGTCAAACATTGTTCTACTAGTAAAAACGCTTAATAACAAAACGTACAATACAGGAATACGAACGCAGCGTCAAGCACAATCAATCTAGAAAAGTTACGGTACCTCGTCTGTATAAGGATGTACAGCTGCCAAGAGAAGTCGATGCGAGTAATGGTCAGTGATAAAAACCGCTGTGCTTTTAACGTGATTGTTTTGATTTCAAGTTTAAACTGCAGCAGTAAAGTTAATGGAAAAATGGAAATCTGAAGTGGGGAAAAAAATGAAATCCCCACACTGTATATTACTCGTCAGCTCAAAATAACAATCAAAATCTGATTAGGGCGAAAATAGACCAATCGGGAACGTTCGCCATACGTTAGGACGAAAAATTTTATCAAATATTCCTCTAAATTACTGGGCTAAATATACTTTCTTCTATCCTCTTTAGTATCTCTGTAGGTCACCTAGTAAACAACTGAACTTCTGACGGATAACCTTTTCTCCTTTCCGCTCCCTGAAATTCTCTGTCTTTTAATCTCTATTGTCTCATCCAGGCACATCATTACGCTGCAATAAAGCGATCCCACCCCAGCAACCAAACCGTTCGTTTCAGGGAATCTTCCTGGGTAACTGCTAAAAGAGGCTACAGTTTCGCTGACAGGGCTCGATCGAGCTTGTCTTTGAGCAAGAGGTATATAAAATGGAGTTTTGTCAATAAAAGGGGAGTACTCGGCGTGAGACAAAAGCTAAGCAAAAGGTAAAGATAAATCCGCTTCTTTAGTCCAGACGAAGAAAGTTTCCATCGATATTGTGGAATCCATAGTAGTCAAACAAGCTGGAAACTACGGTGGCCAAAAAAAGGGCTGGAAGAATTAATGACTTCAAATACTTAGGTTCCACAAGCTAATTCCACCACAACTGACGTTTTAGTCTAAAACTGGACTTGTGCCAACAGCTACAGTAGTTCAAACCGTTGTGCAAAAGTTCGTATACAAGAAATTATGACAGAAATGAACCGCTTTCAAATATTCACCTTACATTTGTTCGGCTAGACTGATTTGTCGGGGTACGGTCGGTCATTCTAGGCTTGATTCAGTTTCGTTTTCTGAGCGACATGTTGTTCCAATGATTCTGTTTCAAAAAAATAGTGGAATTCTTTTTTCAGTACCATTCTGTAGAGCATGTTTTTCATTGGTCTGTTTATTATGCGTAACTGTCTTTCTTTTTCCAGTGATGGCGTCAACGGACGATCGTGAGAAACAGTCGTCTTCTTCTGCGGAACGGTCAGACGCTGGAAAATCTATCCCAGTCTACGCTAAGGCTAAATTTTCGTTTGAAGGGAGGAACAATGATGAGGTATGACATACAACGATGAATAATTGTTAATTCAAAAGTGATCTGCGTGCCCATATGCGTATATCTGCTTCAGAATGTGTCCTCGTTTATGTATAAGCGCTGGTGTTTAATTCTCCGAGTCTTCTCACTGTACGTTAAATGCGGATGTTTAGGGCAAAATTTTTTCCAAGAAAAATTTTTTTTTGTTGGGTTCGATTTGATCGTGTACTTAGAACTTGTTAGAAGGTTACTCTCACTCATCAGCTGCTGACTTTTGTTAGGTGTCTTTACTAGGCTAGTTGAGACTGTTTTCCTCTGTTCATTTTTTTGCTTTATTCTTAATGATTTAAATTACGTTTTATAAGTGGCAGTGTATTTCCAATTCAGTAGAGTGGTAGAATAGATTTTCCGAAACTGCAAATTTCATCGTTCTTACAGCATGTTTACCATCTCGCATGCTTTTTAACCATTAACTTGTCCTCTCGTCTTAATAAATCTTGACCCAGCGTGATTCGTCTACAATAGATCTGCAATTGTATATGCTCTCCCTGTAGATTTTTAGACAGTATGGTGCGAAATTTTAGCTTTTTGCCTTATAGCATTTCATGTTGCCACAATTTCGATGAAGTGTGGTATAATAGTCAGAGGCTACGTTTTATACGTCTATTTCATTGGCTTCACTCCCCTCCTCTGAAAGTTTCTTCCTGCTCGAATTGGTGTTTATAATTAAATCTCTTTCGTACTGTGCGCATTTAACGAAAACTGCAGACCAGAATCTCTATGCAAAAGCCAATTTGAAGTCCTTGTTTAGAATAATTTTCACAATGATTAGTTGCTTCACCGATAGTGCGGTGTTGTAGAATGCCACTGAAAGTAAAAAAGAATTTTAGCAGTAGATTGTAAGGAATTTGACGGGGAGTGGATGGATAAACCAGCTATCACGTTTGAGTCAAAGTGATTTTTCAATTGCATATAAAGAAAGTGAAACTAGGTTGACGTTGGAAAAAGATGTATCTAAAGAGGGACACGGCGAACTGCAGTATATCTTAATTTGTAATGTAGCCTTATCACTTCTACGTTTGCTACTCATTAATGCTTCACCAAAGTATTTTCTCTTATTTTAGTCTGCATTTGAAATCAATTTTTGATAAAACAATTTGTTCAAGTTAGGTAGTTAATGTCTTATGATGTTCAATGGTTACTTCTTTCTAAAAAAATTCTTTTCACTTTCACATTTATTGTTTTAGAAGGAGATTTTTCATGGCCTCCAGTTTTTTAGTGTTTAATACATAAACGATGAATTTACAATTTCTCTATATAATTTAAACTGTGGTACGTATAGAAAACATTCGTTTTTTGCAGTTAGCTTTAATCTATTGGTGTTTCATTATCATTATACAGCTAGTGTAAAGTATTACTTCAGTTGGACAATGAATTTTGTCTTTTTAGCTGTCTTTCAAAAAAGGCGATATTATAGCGGTTACTCAACAGTTAGATGGTGGATGGTGGGAAGGGACCTTTGCTTCGCATACAGGATGGTTCCCATCGGGATATGTGGCAATACTGGACGATGCTGGTTGGTTTACTTATTTACTTATGTATTCATTTTCAAGTCAGCAACGAAAAAATTCTTTAATTGTTTCTCATTGTTGACATACATGTATAAGGTGTTTTTTTGTCATTTTCTGAGTAGCTTATGATAATCAATGTTTTAAAAATTATTTTTAAATGATGTCTTTTTATCGCACCAGAAATGTTGAGGTTCATGTTTGGGAATTACGTGCCACTGTTTTTTTAACTTTAACGGAATCATACAGGCTATTAAGTTACAGAGCGAATGTCATACCTTGGTGGTAACGTTGTTATATCTGATGACGAGTCGGTCAGAAATTTGGTTGCAGGGAATGATTCAAGCAGAGCAATTTATCGCAAACAGGTGAAAAAAGAATGTTTTAGGTTTTGCACTTTCGGGTTGGGTTTGATTTAATTTTAATACGCTAGAAGCGTTCAGCAGTGTTTCATTTTTTCAGATTCTTGATGGTTTTTTGGAGTCCGAACGCAGTTATATTGAGAAAATATCTGAATTTTATAATAATATGTTGATGAGGATTTTAGATGAAAAGAAGTAGGTTTTTCACGTTCTGGTTTTGTTCCTGGCCGTTCAGAACAACAGGTTCTTTTTTTCAGGATTCCTGAAGAGGAGTTTGCTATTTTATGTGGTAATTTGCAAGAAATTATTGTTTATCAGCAGGAAATTCTTTCTGAAATACAAGAAGCTGTCACAAAGAATCTGAGCAATGCCAAGGTTGGTGGCATCCTGCTTAATGCTGCACCAAAGTTTAGAAGTTTGCTACATCTGTACTGCACAAATCACCCTAGGGCAATTGATCTGGTTCTGAAAAGCGGGTTTGTAATTACTTATCTAATACTGGAATATTTGTCTTTTCTAGAATTTTTCCGCAAGTCGTGCTTTTTACTTATACATTAGTTTTGAAAATAAAGGATATATCTTTTATTTTTGCTTATTTTATTTTGATTGGTATGATTACCTAAAAATTAAATGCTTTTCTGCTTGCAAGACTTGATAATGTTTTCAGGCGTGACTATCGTAGTTTGATCAAAAGCTGCGGAAGCAACTTGAAGGAGTTCATTTTTAATTTAAGTCTTCCGTTTCGTCATTTAGAAAAATATGCCACAACCTTAAATGAACTGGAACGCAGTATGCATAGTACACATGCGGATAAAGGTAATGCACAGAGAGCGACAGTAGTTTTCCGTGAAATAGCCGTAAGTAGTTTAGCGTATTGATTTAAAGTTTTTTGTTAAGATGTTTTGGTGTTTATTTTTCTCTTATGCTGTCCTGAAAGATCACAACTGTCTTGTGTTATCAACTTTAAAAAAATTTAATTTTATTGACAATAGAGATCTGAAGTATCACAAGACTTTTAGGACGACCTAATATTTCAGTGCTTTTACTGGTCTTATGTTAATCATGCATATTGTTTGGTTTGTTGCATATTTTCTTTTTTAGAGTTTTTGCACTTCATTGCGGAAACAGAAGGAATTGCAACTTGAGTTGAAGAGGTTTGGCTTAATTGAGGGGTTACCATCATCACAGTTAGAGGCTCTCGGTGAGATACTGTATATGGGTTCTGTTTCATTAGGTGATGAAGAAACACTGGTGGAGGACCATTTACCTGTAGATCGGTAAGCAAAGAAAAAGTTTAATTCACTAGGCTTGGATTTATCCTGATATTGTGAAAAAATGATGGATTTTTAAAGTCCCTTTTGATCTTCAGGAGGTTATCACTCGTTATACTTGGATTCACCAAATATTCAATTGTTAGTATTTGGTTAAAGATTAGTTTTTTAGTTGCCTCGTTTTATTTTCTTCAACACTTTTGATTTTGGAACCAACACAAAATTTGAACGCTTACTCCTTGAAACAGAAGATCAGCACAGACGGTTTGGTAGTGAAAAAAGTCGATGCTAAAGCTGCTCTTTCAATTGTTAGCGGTGAGTTTCTGTTTTCACCACTGTTGTTTATCAGGAAGTGGATTGTTGTTGGAAATGTGTATTTACTTTGTTGTTGTGTGATTTGTCTTTTATATTTATTGGAAAAATTTTAGCCGATGGTTCATTCAATACTCTTATGACTGTCCCTTTCATTGAAGAACTTCAACGATGGGTTGAGAGTTTTGGGCTCTGCCCCAACGTTGAGATTGATGAAAATTGCTTTACTCTTTCAAATACTGCTCC